CTTCAAGCAGATTTTACTCCGAGGTTCATGTTCAAGGGAAGCCTAAATGGAATATAGGAGTGGCCAGAGAGTCGATCAACAGGAAGGGAGAGTTCACTGGACTGTTTAAAAAATAGCATCATTTCCTTTCAGAAAAAGTGTGATTTCTAGTTTGAATTATCCAAACAAACAACCTTGTAAAAAAAGTCGTTTTAAATATTTTACCTCACTTATTATTGACCTTTGTCTCTATGGAGGTAAAAAAATAAAGGCCCATTTCTTTAGTCTTAATATTTGGAGAAAATAATACAGGATTTTTACAACAAACCTTGTTTATGAGCCTAATTTTAACAATATCTCAGCTCAAAGTCCAGCAGGAGTCTACCACTAAGCTTAAACCCAACCACATTTTTTTACCGGTTCAAAAGTTAATAGTCACTCCTGTCTCAAAATCTTAGGGAATTTAAATCAGTTTGATTTAATAATTAGGATTCTTGCTCTTACTTAATTGTACATTGGTATGGCATCACAGGAAAAACAGTTTTACTTATTGCATCAGTCAATAAAAAAAAAATCTCACATTTAATATAGAGAGGTGAAGTCCCGCCCTTCTACTTCCACCCCATGGGACCTTATTTCGGAAAAATTATGTATTGAAGTCAATGGGGAGAGAAAGATTATCTTTCGATCCCGTTTTGAATTGTGCCACGAATTACACATATGATGTTTGTCAGTCTTAAAAAATCTTTTCCAAAAAAAATTATAGTTTGTCGTAAAACTGTTCAAATATAAGACTATGAAAAATACGCAACTAGAAAGACTACAAATCCCAGAGTCGCGTAAGTGATGTCATTAACGTTACACATTACACTCGTGTTACTCACCGAAACCTCCCCTTGTGTGTATGTACAGCTCTCAACATGCCCAGACTTTTAATAATTTCCGCCTCATTCTGAAAGAAAGAAGTGCAACGTGCCAACGTGACGGCCATACAAATGTGTTACTTCACAGTTTTACGACACATTTTTATTTTTTTGACTTGCAAAATTATCTTTTACATTGACAAACATCATATGTGTAATTCGTGGCACAATTCAAATGGGATCGAAAGATAATCTTTCTCTCGCCATAAGGTCCCATGGAGGCCCACCAGAAGGGGAGGGACTTCGCCTCTCTATTCAGTGGTGTTCTCAGGGGATGTTATACGGTTACTAATGGTCTTTCTCGTCAATGTCTTTGTCTGTAACAATGTGTGTTTCCTTCTAAAATAATAATTATGTTGCTCGGGTATGAAAAGAAATTGAAACAGAAAGGAGTGACATCTGGTGGTGATCATTTATAAAGGTTGCTGTTTACATGATGCTTGGATAATAACTGTGTGTGTGTGTGTGTGTGTGTGTGTGTGTGTGTGTGTGTGTGTGTGTGTGTGTGTGTGTGTGTGTGTGGTGTGTGTGGTGCGTGCGTGCGTGCGTGCGTGCGTGCGTGCGTGCGTGCGTGCGTGCGTGCGTGCGTGCGTGCGTGTGTGTGTGTGTGTGTGTAGCCGCCTCCTGCAGAAGGTTTCTATGGCCTTCGCCTGAAGCAGAGGAAGAAGGAGCTGCAGTCAAAGATTGACGACATCGCTAAAGAGCTGCAAAAGGCGCAGGACCAATGGTGACAACATCACTATCATCCACTGCATGTTGTTTACTGTGATCAGATGATATTGTTTTGGGCAGCATAGATTGTTGATGAATCACAATTCATTAGTTTTAATTTGCCCTTATTTTGTTTGAGTTTTTCATCTTTAAGCAAACATTTAAATACTTTCTTTAGTGGTCACCTCAGTTAGTTAGTTTGAAGCTTTTGGATTTACTTTAAAGGGGGGGGGGGGGGCTATTAGGTCTTTGGGGGTTGTCTCTTTCCTTTAGTGTGTTATAGGTTTTTTTTGCATGTAAATGGTCTGCAAAGGCTGAAATACAGAAAACAGTGATGTATTTTGTGGACAAAAGTGTGCTCCTAATTTGGAAACACCCTTTCCTCTTCCCCTGTATGACAAAGCCAGGTCCATAAACAAATGGTTTTCCCAGTTTGGTGTGGGAGAACTTAACTGGTCCACGTAAAGCCTTGACCTCCAACATATTTGGTATTCATTATAATTGCGAACCAGGCCTTGTCGCCCATCATCAGTACCTCACCTCACTTCTATCATAGAGCTGTAAAAAGTCTCCCTTCAGCAAGTCTCCTAGCTTTAAAAAATGCATCCATCCTGTTTTTTCATAATGTATGCTACACAGGAGAGAAACTTTTTTAATGAGTGTTCACATTTCCAAAATAATAACACTTTTCCTCCGCATTTTGCCCTCAGTGAGGATCTGAAGAAAATGTTACAATCCAACACGTTCTAATAACATGTTCTAATAACTGATGTTCTTAAAACACAATCAAAATATTCATGCAGGACAAGTTCTTCCCTTAGAGGCTGCTATCGCTACAGTGGCTAAACTGATATTTGCCATTCAAACTGCATTGAAAACATACATCTCACTTCATTCATTTGCATTTTGAATTGAGAATGATAACTCTTACCATTTTATATAAATAACATAGAGCACTGGTAATGACCCTGCTGTTCCCCCATGTTTCCAATCGTTATGCTAAGCTAAGCTAGCCCAGCTGCTGGATGTAGCTTTATACTTACTTAACAGATATTGGAGAGCGGTATCAGTCTTTTCATCTAACTCTAAGCAGGAAAGCAAATCAAATAATTTCTCAAGATATTGAAAAGAAAATGTTAATGTCAATGTTTAGATATACCGAATACAATTCCTTGATTTTTGTTCTTGGACATTTCCAGGGGTGCAGCAGCTCAACAGCCTCAGAATATCTTAGAGTTTGATGACGTAGAAACTCCTGATGGCCAGTGCACGGCTCTGTACACTTTTCAAGGTAAGTGGTCATATTCATCCACTTCACTCGCTCATAAATGGATTTCATCTCAGGCTTTTAAACATGTCTTCATTGTGTGTGTGCAGACAACAGCGAAGGCACCACTTCCCTTACCGAGGATGAGCTGAGGAGTACAATGGAGGAGGAGATAGTATACGGATGGAAGCGAGTACAGTGTAAACAAGATCGTAAAAAAAAGGCAGCGGCTGCCAAACAAAAACCATAGAATTAAAGTAAAATACTTTAACTGAAATAAAGTGCAAAAGCAATTAATAAACAGGAATTGTCTTTAAAGATTTTACAGGAAAAAACTGTAATGTTACAGATGTTTCCTCTCTTTTCAAAATCCATTGTCTTAAAATGTTACATTCAAATACCTTCAATAAAGTTCTGATGAGAAAAACTGTTTTTTTTACATTTTTTTTTTTTTTGATTTGTATGATCAAACACTAAAATAAATACAGAACCTAAAATTCTACAGGGAGAATACTATTATTTTACAACTTTTCTCTAACATTTTCCAATCAAACACATTCAATAAAATGACAGCACAAAATGTTCTGTAGGAAACAATTACTCTGAAAACTTAAAATATACAAATATTTGTAGAATTATAGTACACCTAATGAATACAGCATTTCATATTTAAACATCATACTTATAAACAGTAGAAACAGAAAGTAAGTTTATTTTTTTAAGATTACTTTGAAACATTCTCAACTGAAAATAACAGAAATTACAAAATGGCGACATATGTTCATGTTGTCAATTTGAAGGAGCAGTGTGCAGGATTTAGTGTGTCTAACAATGGGGATGTAAGTTCCAACCAATGGATAACTTGTTCACTCACCCTCCTATCCCAAGTTTGTAGGAGAATGTATATTGGCTGCAAAAAACTTGAGGCCCAATCATGTTTTCTCTGTCCATTCTGCGCTATTGGCAGAGCATGGCAGAGCAACCTAGAGGACAAAAAGATAACAATTAGTAAACCATAATGATGGATGTTATATCAGCAGCTGCCAATAGACCATCCGGATCAGATAACACACACACACACACACACACACACACACACACACACACACACACACACACACACACACACACACACACACACACACACACACACACACACACACACACACACACAACACACACACACACACACACACACACACACACACACACACACATAGAGCTTGTGATGAAAAGCAAGTTTTGAGTCGGAGGTGAATACAAAGTCATTCATGATCATTTTGAGGTTTTCTCTAAATCTTTTATCTCAGCCGGTGACGTGTCTGGCGAGATGAGAGCGAGTGATTAGGAAGCTTGTTATCGAGGCTGATTGCAATATAACAAAGTCCCTGTCTCTACTCGCTGCTGCAGGGGAGGCCGTCTCTAAACTCTGACCGTCTGATCTTTATAAACTTCAGCTCTTTTAAATCCAAACTTTTGAATGTAAAGCTGAACTCTTTTGTCACAGCATTGAGTGATAACTTTTGTAACATATTCAGCATCATAGTAGCATGACGCTACTTTTCTTTATGGCTTTCCCACTGCCATCTCTAATATCCTGCTGCCTCTTTTTGTAACACCGGCCCTCTGCTTAAACCTCTCTCCTGACGGGATAATGGGAGTTTTTCTTTTTATATTTTTGATGTTTTATGAAAAGTTATTTATCATTTGTTTTATGAGCTTTCTATTTAAACTGTGTGTCATAAAAAGTTAGGTTTTGTCTTACTGTTAAAACTGTGGATTATTTTTTAGTTTACCTTGCTTTGGCCACTAGATATCAGCCTTACATCACACATAGAGAGAAGAGTTTGTGAAAGGCGTTTACAGACTGCACACAAGACTACTTCCTGGTATGATTGAGCAACAACTACAGAAAAAGGCAAACATAAGAATGAGAGGAAACGGCTAAACATTGCAGGGAAAACAGTGAGCTCGACTTTGCACTGAGCTGAAGAGCACTGTGGGTTTTTTCTGAATCTAAGATATATATTTCTTTGAGACAACCGTCCTAGTGGCTTTAAGAAAATATGTAAAAAGTATTTCTAAATGTTAAACCTATCTTGTGCCAGATGTCTGTAACTTTAAACCTGACTAACCCTGAAGGAGAAACACAGAGCTGCTCTAAGAGGAGGAGCAACACTGGAGGGAGGAGAGCTGTAACGTCACTTCCCATAAATGAAACTTATCGTTTGTCAGAGCTGCAGTGGAGACACGTCTCTGGATTTTCTGTCTGAAGGAAGATTACACTGAGTTTGTCAGTTCTTTCTCAGCACTTTACTCAAATATGGGTGAGTACAGCTGATAATATTTACTGAGTTTAAACAACCAGGATTAACACAAAATGTACAGCTATAAACAAACAGGAAGTTACATCAGTTGAAGTAACTTTTCAGTTGTGTTAAAAATACCTACAAAGTTATCTTTAATGTAGTAATCATACTTTATTCGTTATACAGATTTGACTTTGACTTGAAATATGTGTGTAACAAAATATTTAAATGAGGCCCTATAATATGCTTTTGGGGTTTTCTCTTTCCTGTAGTGTGTCATATCGGTTTGTGTGCATGTAAATGGTCTGCTAAGGTTAAAGTCCCTGTGTTCCCTCCAGAGGGAGTTTCTCTCCCACACACTCCCCCACTGCCTGAAACGCCTCCATTGGACTTATTTGTTTAATTCCTGAACATAGTGACATCACCATGTAAGACTTGCGCCTCTATTGGCTAGAGCTCCAACACATTGGCTAAGGGGCGGGACATCTCTAATCGGTTGACTAATCACAACAGAGTTGGCCAGCTAACCAATCAGAGCAGACTGAGCTCTGGTTTCCGACAGAGGGTGAAAAGAGGTGCTGCAGCACGGCAGTGTGAGAAAGATAAAGAGCTTTTTGAACATTAAAGCATGGAGACATGTCACAGTGGAGACACTAAATACAATTATAAAACGTTAAAATTCGCATAATATGTCTTCTTTAATAATACTTTGACTTTTGTGTTCTCAGACATGTCTTCTGTCAGCTGCCTGCTATCCGAAGAGCAGTTTCGGTGCGCCATCTGTATGGATGTGTTCAGGGATCCAGTCAGCACACCATGTGGACACAACTTCTGCAAAACCTGCATCACTGCACACTGGAAAATTAATTACAGATGTCCCTTGTGTAATGAGGGTTTTAAAAAAATACCTTTGTTGAGGGTCAACACTTTGTTATCTGAGATGGTTGGTGAGTTCAGACAGTCGGCTCAACAGAAAGCCAACCGCAAACGGTCACAGCAACAATCGTTCAAACCAGTAAATGTTCCCTGTGACTTTTGCACTGGAACCAAACTGAAGGCCCTGAAGTCCTGCCTGGCGTGTCTGGCCTCCTACTGTGAGACTCACCTGGAGCCTCATTTCAATGTGTCAGGTCTGAAAAGACATCAGCTGATCGACCCTGTGGAGAACCTGGAAGACAGGATGTGTCCAAAGCACGATAAACCTCTGGAGCTGTTCTGTAAGACCGACCAGACATTTGTCTGTCTGCACTGTTCTGCTTTAGACCACAAGATGCATGAGTTTGTTCCTCTGAAAGATGAATATGAAGACAAGAAAGTTGAGCTGGTGAAGACAGAGGCTAAAATTCAGGAGATGATCCAGAAAAGACGAGTAAAGATTGAGGCGATCAGACACTCAGTAAAGTGTAGTACAGAAAATGCGCAAATGGAGTTATCAGAAGGTGTTCAGGTCTTCACTTCTCTGAACAAGTTTCTTGACAGTGGCCTGAAAGAGCTCAGTCGAACACTAGGAGAGAAGGTGACAACAACACAGAAACAGGCTGAAGGCCTCATCAAAGAGCTGGAACAGGAAATATCTGATCTGAAGAAGAGAAACACTGACGTGGGGCAGGTCACACGCTCAGAAGACCACCTCCATGTCCTCAGAAGCTTCCCATTACTGAAAGCCGTACCACCCACAAAGGACTGGACAAAGGTCAACGTCCATGTATCTTCATATGAGAAAACTGTGGAGGGGGCCTTGATCCAGCTGGAGGAGACCCTTAATAAAGAGATGAAGAAGCTGCTCGGTGAGGCTGAGCTGAAGAGGGTCCAGAAGTACGCAGTGGATGTGACTCTTGATCCTGATACAGCACACCCTGAACTCATCCTGTCTGATGGTGGAAAACGAGTGAGTCTTGGTGATGTAAAGAAGAATCTCCCAGACAACCCAGAGAGATTTTCTCATTATAATTTTGTTTTGGGAGGGCAGAGTTTCTCTTCAGGCAGATTTTACTCCGAGGTTCATGTTCAAGGGAAGCCTAAATGGAATATAGGAGTGGCCAGAGAGTCGATCAACAGGAAGGGAGAGTTCAACATGAGGCCTCAGGACGGTTACTGGACTATATGTTTGAGAAATGGAAATGAGTACAAAGCTCTTGATGCTCCGTCAGTCCTTCTCTCTCTGAAGTCTCGGCCTCAGAAGGTGGGGGTGTTTGTGGATTATGAGGAGGGTCTGGTCTCCTTTTATGACGTATATACTGCAGCTCTGATCTACTCCTTCACTGGCTGCTGCTTCAACGGGAAAATCTACCTAATATTAAGTCCCTGTAATAATGATGGAGGCAATAATGCTGCCCCTCTGATCATCGTCAGACGTACTGTCAATCAAACCGCTTGATTTTTGAGATCAGCATGTTGAGCAATGCAAATAAAGCATTGCCAACATTATGATAACATACAGTGTACATATATATTTACACATAAACATGCCAAACAAAATGTGCATACTAAAACAGGCATAGCGGTCAACACTGGTATGCCAATGTATTATAGAAAAAGAAAGAAAAAGTGCTTGACGAAAGAATACATGAAATTAGTAACCATCCGGATCAGACGGATCAGACAAAACACACACACACCCACCCCCCCCCCCCCCCCACACCACACACACACACACACACACACACACACACACACACACACACACACACACACACACACACACACACACACACACACACACACACACACACACACACACACACACACACACACACACACACACACACACACACACACACACACACACACACACACACACACACACCACACACACTAGATGTGTTTTCCCCTCCTTATGTGCCCATCCCCCCATGTGAATCACACCTGGCACACACAAACACACACACAGAACAATTTGATACATTTCCCGCTCTTATGTGCCCATCCCCCCACATGGATCACACCTGGCACACGCAATACATGTTCAGTGTCTATTCTTTGTATATTTACTGCAGTTTTCATGTATACCAGTAGTCTGATACAATATTTACAGTTTGAAAGGGTGTTAAATGACATTTGGTGATGATTAATGGTTTTTGTGTTAATGTAATAGCAGTTAAAACAGGACCGGTCAAATTTCGGGGGAAAACGAAGACAATAGGAGGGTTAAATGACAAGATTTAGAAGTCATTAATCGAAATACATATTCAGTTGAAATGTTATCTTAATTTGATTTATCATTTATCATTTGTGTTCTAAACTTAAATATTTTGTCTTCATATTTGGTTAGAAAATTAACAAACAAAAAAAAGGTTACTTTTAAAAAAGGTGCTTTTGTTTGACTTCTTGAAGAGAAAGAGTATTTGATCAGTGGTTTTTATTATGCCGAACAATGTAGTGATAATTAACATCGATTTATTGCTGGACTAGGGATGCAATTGTTCTGTATATTTCAGTTTGCCTTTAAGATCTTACTTATTTGAGTTGTACATTATTTGAGTGTGGGTATAATCGATGCCAGTTCATCTATAAAGATGTTGATACGGACAAAGTATTTGTTTAACTTTTATAAAGTTCTTTGTCAACCAACCATATTACAGCAGGTCAGGGTCTGAACCTAAATATATCAATAATTGTTTAGTAAATTAGAAGATTTTTGCTCAAGAACTTAAAAAAAAAAAAAGTTAAAATCTGCAATAATTGAAAGGGTTTCTTAACAGGTCTACAGACAGTTTTAACTAGTGGACATTGTCCTGCACTTGGTCTTCCTCTTCATTCATAAAAGACAAACGTTGATTTATTAAGTCTATGTTAATGAATGAAAACATATTTTGTGATGAATTAAACTAATCTGTTGTACAGTATTACTCAAGTAAAATCTTGTGCATGAGAAGAAACTTTTTGTCAGAGTGTTTTATTTTGAAACTTGTCGGTATTCACAGGTTGGATTTATTTCCCTCCTATAGCCACCAGATATCAGCATTTCAACACACAAACAAGGCAGGGGAGCGTGTTTTGGGGATTCACAGACGGTAAACAACACTCAACGTCCTGGCCTGATTCAGCAACAACTTTAGGAAAGAATCAAACACAAGAATGATATAAAAAGGTCAAACATTACAGGACAAACAATGAGATTAACCTTTCACTGATAAGAGTGTTGCAGAGCTTCAGCACTGTAAAGGGACTGTTTTTTACTGACATTATATGTGGGATTGACTTTTTTTATGTAAAAACTGTTCTAGTAACTGTCAAAGATGATAATATAAGTTAAAAGTTAATTTTTTTTTAATCTTCAGGGTCTTGAGCTGAAGCTGTGAGAAAAATAAAGACTTTTGAATACTCAAGAGGTTAAAAAAGAGTTGAATCTGTGAACCAAAGTTGAGATTGACAGTTGATTGTTTCAGAGAACTGTGAAGGGGCTGCATTGGATGTATGACTGACCATTAAAATGACTTTATTTAACTAACAACACCAACTAGATGCTACCTGGGAAATAGAATGGGGCGGGGAACAGTTTATTTTCCAATTCCTACCACATGACTTCTGGTACATTTGATCTGGAACCCTTTTTTTAAATATACCTTCATTTTGATCTCATCTACACAGTTATATTTTCGTGAGTGCATTTTTGCATGGTTGTACACCTTCACAAAATCTTCCTACAGACACACAGAAACACACACAGACTCACGAGGTGAAAATGATTCCAACAACGCTATTGCGGCTGGCAATAAAGAAGTAAAAAGTCATATGGTCCATCATTGCTACTAAAATATTGAATTGATTTCTGTCACATGCTGCACTAAAATCATGCTCATACCAGGAGGCAATAAGACTTCACAAACAAGCTTCAATAGAGGTTAAACAACACTGGAAAGACAGGAGAGCCTCAACATCTCAGTCCTCAGACGAGCATTTGTCAGAGCGACAGCAGAGCTGCTATCGAGAGAAGTTTCCATTCTTCCACGTTTCCAGTTGAGGTTCATCAGTCTTTCTCGACAACAGAGAAGAGACTCTGCCAAACACCGGTGAGTTGAGCTTCTAGGTTTTTAGTAAATATCAACTCTTTACTTTGTATATGACATAGAAAGTTAACCCTCCTGATGTGTTCTTTTTCCCCCCCTTACTTTAGTGTTCACGGTCAAATTTGACCCGTCCTGTTTGAACTGCTATTACATTAACACAAAAAGCATTAATCATCACCAAATGTAATTTAACACCCTTTCAAACTGTAAATATTGTATCAGATTACTGGTATACATGAAAAACTGCAGTAAATATACAAACAATAGACACTGAACATGTATTGCGTGTGCCAGGTGTGATCCATGTGGGGGGATGGGCACATAAGAGCGGGAAATGTATAAAATTGTTCTGTGTGTGTGTGTGTGTGTGTGTGTGTGTGTGTGTGTGTGTGTGTGCCAGGTGTGATTCACATGGGGGGATGGGCACATAAGAAGGGGAAAACACATCTAGTGTATGTGTTTGTGTGTGTGTATTTGTGTGTGTGTGTGTGTGTGTGTGTGTGTGTGTGTGTGTGTGTGTGTGTGTGTGTGTGTGTGTGTGTGTGTGTGTGTGTTTTATCTGATCCGGATGGTTACTAATTACATTTCTTTATGGACCGGGAACACCATGGGTGTTACAAAGTTGACTAAATCATCCAAAACTCAATGAAAGTGGTGATCAGCAATTGTATATGTTCAATTATAAAACGGACACGTCAAATCAAGCAATCTGATTGGTTCTTAGCCGTGATATAATCAGCGTATACCACGGGTAGAATTGTAGTTACTTTTCACAACAAGTCAGTATCCCTCCGCGTCTGAGAAAAACTGTATACAAACTGGGACAAGAAAACCGCGGAGAAACTTGTAACGGGGCAGAAACCCTCCTTTTTACGCAACGGTCCAGACATAGACATCAAACGGCAAAACATATTCAGTTGCCAGTTACTTTGGCATTAGGGCAGGGATATCTAGATACTTTCCAAGGTTTGACATAATGAATTGTGCTACTTTTAAAGCAAGCAACGATGTTTTCAAATCTGTAATCAAAAAGGTCCGCAAAAACGCTATCGACCAATCAGATTGCTTGATTTGACTTGTCCGTTTTATAAATATTATAGAGTGGCGAAGTCACGCCCATCTACTTCCGCCCCATGGGACCTTATTTCGGAAAAATAATGTATTGAAGTCAATGGAGAGAGAAAACTTATCTTTCGATCCCGTTTGAATTGTGCCATGAATTACACATATGATGTTTGTCAATCTTAAAAAATCATTTCCATGTCAAAAAAGTCACAGTTTGTCGTAAAACTGTTGAAATATAAGACTATGAAAAATGCGCAACTAGAAAGACTACAAATCCCAGAGTCGCGTAAGTGATGTCACAATTGTTTTCCTCCACTAAGAGATAGCTAAGATCAGCACCATATAGATATAATCTATCTATATGCATACCTGCCAACCCTACCGATTTGGGCGGTAGTCTACCGCTTTTGACATGTTTCTACCGCCTACCGATTTAGCTGACTCTCCCTACCGATTTTCAATCTTCCCAAACTATAACAAATAAAAATGACACTACATAGACACTGGACTCGACTTTTGGCGGACACCGTTTGCAGCGTGTCTGTGATCCCATCATACAAACAGTCCTCTGTGTTTCAGTCGATCGCGAGATGTGTCTAAAAATAGAACAACAATATTCTGTTTTATCGTTAATGTCCTATAACATAATCTTCCTGTGCCAGAATAATGCACATGAACGCATCAAAGCTTTGTGCTTGGCGTGACCCCATGTATCGGGGCGTGGCTGGTAGGCAGTGGGCACTGGGCAGTGGGCACTAGTTTGCTGTGCAGTCCGCACACACAAGACCACAATTATGGCAGAAGCAAAAGAGCCCAACATATATAATTTTCACTCTGAGTGGGGAGGATGATTATTTTTGTATCTATTCCAATTCAAAGTCTATCTGTCTCATCTGCAATGCGAGCGTGGCTTTATCGAAGAAGGGTAATTTAGGAGCGGCATTTCAAAACAGTGCACAAACGCTACGAGACGGAATTCCCTCCTAATTCTGCCCTACGCTCCCAAAAGGTGAGGGACCTGAAAGGACAGCTAAATGCACAGCAGTCCATTTTCACCAGGCCCAACAACAAGAGCAAGGCTGCTACCATAGCATCTTATCGTGTCAGTCACGTTCTTGCAAAACACATGAAGTCTTTCAAAGACGGCGAAGTTGTGAAAGAAGCATTCCTGGAGGCTGCCGACGCGCTTTTTGGGGACAGTAAACATAACAGTAGCATTTCAACAGGTTTTTGATATAATAAAAACTCAAGTTAGATACTGTTATTAATCAGCTGTAAGTTTTAGTTTGTTTGAACTTATTCATTATAATTATTGTACAAAATGGTATAAGAATGCAAACTTTAAGATCTGTTCTGTTTAAATTGATTATAGTCTATTATCAATTCAGAAACTAGTGTTGCTTGCATCCTATTTTAAAGGCATTTCTTTTTATACTCTACTAAAATGCAAAAAAAAGAAAAGGGTTTGATTCTATTAATTTTGTCTTTTTTATTGCACTTTGGCAGCAGATTCCTGTGTAGCTTCAGATCTGAGTTGTCTTATTAGTA